CACTTATTGAGAAGAGGAATCCACTTCTGCAAGCAGAAGCAGGCATTTGGCATATAAACATAAACTTATCCTTCAAATCTTCCCTAATTAAATATGGCTTCATGTTTCACTCTTCCCATGAGCAATATAACGTTGCTATATGGAGATATGTATTGCCAACGTTTAGCTGCCTCTACACTAGCCAATTCATCTATTTACTCATGTTCTGGTGGAACTCATTTCCCATATCATCCTGGCATCCAGTATTCCGGCATTATAAGTGGGCTTATTTGATAGGCCCTCAAAAACTGGCGATATTTAGGATCAGACTTTGTCGTACAAGTGCGGCATCATGTTGATCCTAATGCAGCATAGCGAGTATTCTAGATCAATTAATAAGAACTGTATTCATCCTAGGTCGCATGAGACGATGAATAACTGGAGGAGCATATCATCACTATGTTTTGAGTTATTATTTTAATAATAGATTGTTGATGTGATGGCTTAGATTGTGTGGTTTTATGTTTGGTTGCAGTCTGCTTTAGCGGCATAGTGTTGGTTTCACCTTATTTCGGCAACTTGGTCGTAGAGACAGGGAGACCTTGTGGAATGATTTCCGGCATTGGACCGTTAACTTGGTACACCTCCGGACATTTCGCCGGCATCGTCAGTGAGAGGCGCCAATTTCCTGTTCACCAACTGTGGCACCACTCTTCACCCCTATTTTTCGTCTTACCTTCTTAATCTGCATCTCTTTCTCTTAACCCTCACTTAATGTGGCCTATTTACTTGTTGACGCCTTTCTGGGTTTTCGGTTCCTCCAATATCGCCTAAGAATGTGTCGCTTCAAGTGAATCTGGTGAAGCATAATCACCTTCATGCTTTGATTCATCATGAATAATATGGCAGCTGACGGAGGACTAGCTACATTACACAAGGTCATCCGGACACTCCAACCAAATTGCTAAAATAAGGTTAAAACAAAACACTAATAATAACGAAGTGGGTTGACCTCGTTGTCGAAACTTAGTCTTGTTGTCAGGACACCCAGTCCGAAGTCGTCTGCCATAGTAGTTGTCATGATTCCCAGCATCAGACAATGGACTTGGTAGATTCTCAAAACGTTTCGCCGGTATCGTAGTCAGCAGCATCAATGAGCGCTGCCATTCTTCGCACCAAGCTACGAACTCGTCAAAGAGACAAATGGTCTGCCGAAAACGGTTACACTATCACTACACTTTCTGTCTTGGTCTATCTATCCACTCTTTAGCCTTTAATCCCGCTGCCGCTCTATCACAACTTCTCGCTTGTTTACATTCCACTCGTCAAAATGTGTGCCATTTTGTGGCAAATCTAGTGTGGCCTCATCACACTTGCTATTTATCCTGACCCCTCTCTTTCGATCGGCTGATTCGACTCGGGCCTCCGATCCGGATCACTTCATTGTCTCGTAGCTCCGTTCCTTATCTTTCTGGTTGACCGATTTCACTCGGGTCCAGCCCCAGTGTGCTTTTCACTCCAGGCGCTATTTCTCAAGGCCCTAGAATCACGTACACTTTCGCTTCACTGAGCATAGAGCCTAATCTCTGATTCCCATGCTTGCAGATATCATGCCTTTCCTTCATGTGTCGTCTCCTTGATTAAACCCATGTTATCTGAGCAAACTGTGGACGCCTATTTATGGTCGAATTCGGCATCTCAAGTGGATTTCTAGTACATTTTGGCCATAACACCCCATTTCCATAACGGTTTGCTTATCCGTCTGCCCAGCTACCTCACTGCCAGGCCCCCAAAGTTGTAGTGGTTTATTCGAAATGGGCATCACTCACTGACAACGTCTTCGCTTTATCGCCGAAAACCCCTCCCCTCAATTTTCTCATCTCAATCGCAGATCCTTAATCCAGGCGTCTTCTTTTTGCTGGTCTTGCTCTATCGTTTTCCCCGAGTTTGCTTAGGCAGTAGGCAAAGTTATCGCTAACTCTACATTTCTCCAATCTCCTGTTCATTAGATTTGTATCCCCAAGGATGTCAATGGCCTCTCAAATCTTCCGCTTCCTTGTGTTGTCACCGTATGGGGCTCTTCTTTCTGTTGCCTTCCAATTGATCTCGCGTCCACTCTGTGCGATCTGTTCCGCTAGTTCTGATCTTTCTGTATCCATTTTCCTGCAGAGTTTTTGATGTTCCATAATCTATGTCCTAATTTTTATTTCTGTTTCGCCAATATATTTCTGTTCGCAAGCGCCGCATGATAAATAGTAAACTTCTGAACAATCTAATTTGTCTACCCTTTCATGTTGCGTTGGTAGACTTTTGAAAAGTGTTGATTTCTCTTTCATGGCCACCTGAATATTCCATTTACTCAATATTAGCCGTAGTTTCTGAGTTAGTTCGTAGGAAGATAGGCATATTCACTTTTGCGAATCCTTCATCGTCTTTACTGTCCTTTCACAATCCCCGTTCTGCCATCGACTTTTCACGGCCCGTATGTTTCTTTGCATCACTTCGATTGGGCAGTCGTTT